TAGAAACCCAGATATCAGTAATTTAACTCCTACCAAAGTCTAACAAATACTTTTATAAAAAGTTGTAGTATTTAATGAATCATAGCAAGAAGTGCCAGAACATTGGGCTAATTGGAGAAGGATCAGATTCTCTACATTCTTTAAAATCTCAGTTTGGAACAGGGAGAGCCATACAAACAGAGGCACATGTTTTGTCCCAGGGCCCTTGGGAGACTGGCCTTTTCCTGCCAGCTAGCTGTGGGGAAATGTTTGGTTCTTTCCAACCAAATTGATACCATCTTGATAACAACTTTCCTTCCCTTACTGGGAAACATTCTGCAAATGACTTATGGCGTTTCCTTGGATAAAACAATGAACTTCTAGGGACAGAATCCTTATCTACATAATAATAGATATTTAGCCTAGATTTTGTTAAAGTTTAATGAATGAATGAGTATAAAACCTATCATTCTTTTCTAAGCAAATTATTATATTTACCAACCCAATTGCCTACTAAACTACATTTTACAGAATTTAATCCTATGCTATCAGATTAAAAGCAGTGTGTGTGGGGGGGCTGGGGTTGTGGCTCAGTGGTAAAGTGCTCTTACCTTCCATGTGTGAGACACTGGGTTCAGTTCTCAACTTAGTACCACATAAAAACTAAATAAAGCTATTGTGTCCCTCTACAACTAAAAAATATTTAAATACACATATATATATATATATGTATATAATATATATAAATATATATTTAACAAAAAGCAATGCCACTTTCTTACCATTCGTGTTTTTAAAGTTGTCTGGTTGACAGGTAAATCAGATGTGTGGCACAACACTTACAGTAAACACATTCACACATTAAGGTATGAGCAGTTGGTAAGTTGTATCAAGAAGTGACCACAAGCATTGAATGTTCTGTCTAACTCAGTTATCATTAGATAACGGGGCCCCTAACTAGGTATTCTCTTCGGCACCAAATGGACTCTTAAGTGGACACTTCCAGTTTCCCCTCATTTGTCCCTTCCAACCTCATTCATACTTTGCAGCTTATGACTAATGAAAATGAACCCCTTTCTCCCACTAAATTCTTATATTCATAGTTTACTTCCTCCAAATATGAAATTCTCCCTCCCTTCTAGTGTTATTTTTCAACTCATGAAGACACAAGAGTATCTGTATGTTCGTAACAAAATTTTTGTTGTGTACTTCTATATAGGAGCAATTTTCATCCTGTAAGAATCATTTCATATTGGAAGAATACATTCATCTAGTTAATAAAGATTTGAAAAACGCTCATTTTTGTATTGTTAAGTCACAGTAAAGAGAGAGTGTCCATGTGTACTATATAGTAGTGTGGAGAATAGGACACTATACCATAGAATGGGAGAGTAAACAAAAAACCCTAGTGCAGAGTATCAGATGCTGCCAGTATATATAGGAAAGAGCCCTGTACCAGCATGTGTGCTTATATTTGTATAGTCTCTTTGGAAGGATACATAAAAGGCTGGCAGTATCCCAGCAAAAGATCTGAGTTCTAGGGAACCAGGGATGAGAAGGGAATTCATTTTGCACTGTTCTTATTGATACTGTTTATATAGTTTATTTTACTACATTCATTCATATACAGTTAAATATATGTGTATATATGTGTGTATATATATATATATATATATATATAGATAGATAGATAGATAGATAGATATTAGATATACAGGTACATTCTTTTTCTCCAGTTCTGGGGCTTGAACTCAGGGTCTTGTAGCACATATTAAGCAAGTGCTCTACCACTGAGCTATATCCTTGGCCTTTTAATATTCCTTTTCATTTTATTATTTATTTATTTATTCATTCATTCATTTATTTATTTTGGTACTGGGGTTTTAACCTAGCAGTGCTTTGCCACTGAGTTACATCTTCAGCCTTTTTTTCTTTTTTTTGAGAAGAGGGTCTCACCAACTTGCTGAGGTTGCCCTCAAACTTGCAATCCTCCTGTCTCAGCCTCCTGAGTCTTTGGGATTACAGGTGTGCACTACTAGGCCCAGCTTAGTATTACTTTTTAAAATGTTGCATTTCATTGTATTTTATGCTGCACTGGGTTAGCAAGTGCCTTGAAATGAACACAGCTTCACTTATACCTCGTGTTTTAGTTAGCTTTTTGTCATTGTGACCAAAATATCTGACAAGAACAATTTAGAGGAGAAAAAGTTTATTTTGGCCCACAGTTTCAGAGATTCAGTTCATGGTTAGCCAACTCTGTAGCTCTGGGCCTATGGTAATGTTATGGCAGAAGGGTTGCTGGAGGAAGGCAACTCAGGACGTGGCAATGAGGAAGCAGAGTATACCACTCACCAGGGACAAAATATAACCTCCAAAGGTATATCCAGTGACCTACTTCCTCCAGCCACATCCTACCTGCCTGCAGTTACCACCCAGTTAATTCATATCAGTGTGTTAGTCCACGAATTGGGCAAGAGCTGTCATAATGTAATCATTTCACCTCTGAAAGCATTGCCTCACACATGAGTTTTAAGGGACTCCTCATATCTATATCATACTACTTCTCATCCATCATTTTCTATTGTTGCAAAAAGTGACATTTGGTATTTGGTTTGCAACTTGGACCATTTAGAAGGAGCACCAACTTTGCAGTTGGATCAGACCTGTGTATACAGCTACTGGATTGTATGATTATTCAGCCTTTCTGATTCCTAATCTTCTCTTCTAAGCTGTGAAAAATGGTAGTAAGTATAGCTCAGGGTGTTATAAAGATGAAATAAGAAATTGTATTAAGTCAGGGACAATGGCACATGCCTGTAATCCAAGCTACTGGGAGGCTGAGGCAGGGTGATTGCAGGTTTGAGGCCAGCCTGGGAATTTAGTGAGACCCTGTTTCAAAATAAAAAGGATTGGAAAGCTGGGCACGTGGTGTACACCTGTAATCCCAATGGCTCCGGAGGCTGAGGCAGGAGGATCACAAGTTCAAAGCCAGCCTCAGCAATATAAAGGCCCTAAGCAATTTAAGGGACCAGGGATGTGGCAGAGTGTTTAAGCGCCCCTGGGTTCAATTCCTGGTACCAAAGAGGTGGTAGGGTGGGGAGGGCCTGGTAATGTGGTTCATTGGTAGAGCACTTGCCTAGCATGTGCGGTGCCCTGGATTTAATCCCTAGTACACACACACACAAAAAAAGAAAAGAAATTGTACTTTATGAGCTAACACAATGATGGGCATAGGAGTTCTGTAAATAATAGTTGTTTTTATTTTATTTTAATTTATTTTTTAAATAAATGACAGCAGAATGCATTATAATTCTTATTACACATATAGAGCACAATTTTTCATATCTCTGATTGTATATAAAGTATGTTCACACCAACTCGTGTCTTCATACATGTACTTTGGATAATGATGTTCATCACATTCTACCATCCTTGCTAACTCCCTGCCCCCTCCCTTCCTCTCTTTCTCCCATGCTCCCTCTCCCTACCCCTCTATGAGTCAGTCACCTTATATCAGAGAAAAACATTTGGCATTTGTTTTTTTGGTATTGGCTAATTTCACTTAGTATTATCTTCTCTAGGGCCATCCATTTACTTGCAAATGCTATGATTTTATTCTCTTTTATTGCTGAGTAATATTTCATTGTTATATGCCACATTTTTTTATCCATTCATCTACTGAAGTACATCTAGGTTGGTTCCACAGTTTTGCTATTGTGAATTGTGCTGCTGTAAGCAATTCACAAAACTCAACTCAAAGTGGATCAAGGACCTAAGAATTAAACCAGAGACTGTCTAAATAGAAGGAAAAGTAGGCCCTAATCTTCATCATTACTAAGACTTCCTACAGCGCAAGAATTAAATCCAAGAATCAATAAATGGGATGGTGGATTCAAACTATAAAGTTTCTTCTCAACAAAAGAAACAATCTGTGAGGTGAATAGAGAGCCTACATCTTGGGAGCAAATTTTTACCCCTCACACATTAGATAGAGTACTAATCTCTAAGGTATATAAAGAACTCAAAAAGTAAAACACCAAAAAGAAAACCAAATAACCCAATCAATAAATGGGCCAAGGACCTGAACAAACAATTCTCAGACGAGGATATACAATCAATCAACAAATATATGATAAAATGTTAATCATTTTAGAGAAATGCAAACCAGAACTACTCTAAGATATCATCTCATTCCAGTCAGAATGACAGGTATTATGAACAAACAACAATAAATGTTGGCGAGGATGTGGGGAAAAAAGTACAATCATACATTGCTGGTGGGACTGCAAATTGGTGCAGCCAATATGGAAAGCAGTATGGAGATTCCTTGGAAAACTGGGAATGGAACCACCATTTGACCCAGCTATCCCTTTCCTCCTCGGTCTATACCCAAAAGTTATTTTTATTTTAATTGGGTGACTAAGGGACTTGTCTAAGTTTTAAAATCCATACTTTCCCAGCCCTTGGATCATTCTTAACATTTCTATTTCCCTGGCATGCCGCAGTGGACCATAACTAGTTTTGAGTACCACCTTGGCTTGTAGAGTATTTTATTAAATATATATATTTTTATAACTTTATTTTGTTTATTTACTTTTTATGTGGTGCTAAGGATGGAACCCAGTGCTTCATCCATGCTAGGCAAGCTCTCTACCACTGAACTACAGCTCTAGCCCCTCATGGAGTATTTTTTAAGTGAAATAACTTACTTTCTGTTTTAATCCTGCAGAGTCTTTTAAATAAAAGCAGCAGTCTTTGCCCTTCTCTCTGTAAGTGGGAGTTTACTGGTTTCTTATAATTTTTGAGTATGTATTCTTGTATATGGTGAATATTATTTATTTTTTGCTTATTTAGTAAGCCAAAAAAATTTAAACATGAGTCCATAGTATAGACTTGCAAGTCAAAACTCAGTGATGACGGCAATATTAGATCCCATTCCTAGAGTAAATATATTATTTAGGTAAATGTTTATACTGTAATGTATTTGTTTTATTTTTAAAGTCTTTTTTTTTCTTTTCCAGTTCTTTCATTCTCACATGGCATTCAGAACAGCTTCTATGCCCTCCCCATTATGTGAAGCTGAAGAGAGAGTGAGTCTTTTTTTAATGTATTACATATCGTCCCTAAATACTTTTATAATTTAAAAATAACTACTTATAGAATTTGTAGACTCTTATGTAAGTATGCATAATGTTCCTATTAAATTGTTTTCTGTTTATTTTTTCACTTGTTATTTATTTTTTAGTTCTTTTGTTTCTGGTTTTAAGCAGATTAAAACTCCAGGTGCTTCAACAACAACATTCCATAAAAAGACTAGCATGGTTAGATTCCAGCACAATTCTGGGAGGGGAAGAAATAAAGACTAGCACTGCTTTGGGTGGGCACATTGCAGAGCATGGTAGGGGCAGACAACTTTGGATGACAGAATGTGGAGACCAACTGGGTGGCCTCGCCAGATGCTTTTCTGCTGCAAGATTAGACCTGATGTTTCCAAGGTCATTCTGAGTGTGCCTGTACAGTAGGAATGGTTTGGTAATGCATGTTAGAAGTTATATTTAAAAAGAAGGGTAAATTTAACTTGATGAAAGAGCTATGCTGTTAAAAACAGAAAATTGCAAGTAAAGCATGGTAATTCAATGAGATGAAATAATTTCCTTTAGTTCTGGGCTCCCATAGCTAGAGTCCCTTCTTGTTTTCAAGATGGCTTCAGATGGCTGGGTTTTTATGCAGAGCTCTCCTTCAAGCTCTTTCAAGTTACTGGCTGAATGCAGTTCCTTGCTGACTGGCCTTCCATTTGTTCCCAGAGACCATTTTCTTTTCCTTGCCACATGGCCTCTACTATTCTAAAAGCCAACCAGGCAGAACTTCTGGCAGGTCTTATCTTCTTTGTGTTTCAGATTTTTTTAGCCACATCCATCCCCCCCCCACCCTCCGCCAACCCCAGATCTTTTTAGCCAGGAATGCCCAGACCCTGTTAAGGGCTTGCTTAGTTAGGTCAGGGCATACCTATGATTGTCCTTTTTCTAGAGCTACCTGAGTTGGCACCTACATCACATATGCAAGTTTTCTCAACTGAACCCAGATTAGTTTTATTAAATAACTGAGAGAAGATGTGTGCATACCAGAGGCTATTTCATTATTCTGCCCACTGCACATGGTAAAAAGCAATCCTTTCTCACCTGACCTGTGTCTCCTCCCTAGTGGTTAGTCTGTCACTACCTTTTGAGATATTTCCTTCCATATTCATATAGATATAAGAATATATACATACATAAAAAAAGTTTATTTTCACACAAATCACAGTAAATAAATCACTGTTTGGATACTTAGTTTAAAAGAGTCATACATGTCCTGGCGTGCATCAGTATATGCTTCAATTTGTATATCTATACATTTGAGTTGTTTCTACTATTTGACTATTAGGAATAAAACTGCTATGAATGTGTGTCCTTGTTTGGATGTATGTTTTAACCTCCAGGTTGGATTTTTGTTTTTATCTAACATTTTTCCAAATTCACTGTACCATTTTGTATTTGCACCAGCACATTCTCAGCATTCCATTTGTTCTTCTATCTTCAACACTTGACATCATCAGTCTTTTAAATTTTAGTTATTTTATGTGCATCCAATGATATCTTACGCCTTTTTTGGATTAATGAGTATTTTTATGATTGGTTCCATTTTATCTCCACTCTGTTTTTTATTTTTAAAAATGTTGATCTAAGCTTTAATTTATGACATTTTACCTTCAAATAATACCATGGTATATATAATATAATTTTTCTTTTTTATTATATAGTATGTATCATGGAGGTGCTAGATTCTTCTTCCAGCTTTGTTCTAACAGGCTGATAAATTGCTGTCTTATCACATTGATCACTTTGAGACTTGGTTATCGGCTTGGTTAGGGCCAGTCTATTTCAGTCATGCCTTCATACTAGGGAACTTTTCTAATTCTTGGGAAATAGTCCTTAATCCTAAAATGTGGACTATCTAAGATTGAGGTGTTTCTGAGGCCTCTTTAACTTACAGACTTAAAATTTAAGAACCTCCTTTCTCTCCAGGATGGTACTCTTTAAAAATGCTCAGCTCCTAGTGCTGCATGACAGAGTCTCAGTATTCCTTTTGTCCTTGTGCAGTTTGGCAGTCAACCATGTATTTGAGGGGAATGTGTTTGCATATTTTGGGCTTCTTCCATTCCGGAATTCCCCCACTCCCCCTCAATTTCTAGCCAGTGTTCCTGCCCCAATTTTCAAATGACTTCTTAACCCAGTAAGACTATTTCAGTTCTTCCTGAGCTCCATCTTTGTACCCTCAAGGGAGAGTACAAGTGGTTGGGGGTGTCCTGAAGGATTTGCTATGTGAATGTGTATCTCACAGAGTAGATTCCCTTCCCTCTAGAGTTTTCATTCTTTCCAGAGTCTGTGTCCCTGTGACTTGAAAGAGTTGCTTATAATTGTTATCAGCAGGGAGGTAAGTTTGACGTGAGTTATACTGTCACTACTGGAGCTGAAACTATAATTTTGTATTGTACTTTTTTTTCACTTCATGTCTTAATGAAGGATTTTTCCAAGTCATTAAAAATTTATCGTAAACATTCAATGACTTTAAATTCTCCATTTTGTGAGTGAATATGACATATTTTATTTGAATGTTTTTAGAAATGAAATGTTTTACTGTTAAAATTTGTGCTGGACTTTTGTATTGAAGGGAATAAGAAATTTATGTTTTGAGGATCTGGACACTGATTTTTTTTTTTCCTCACAATGTACTTGATCATTGTCTTAGGTGAATAGTAATAATTGTAAAATCTTTACTTCCTTTGATAAATTCATCCTTTCAAGTGTGCCTTTTTCCTGTTCAGTCAAGGTCATTTTAACTGTGGCTGTTGTTTTTGTTTCTTCAGAAAAGAGAAAATATCCGATCCTTGACTATGTGTGGCCATGTTGGTTTTGAGAGTTTGCCTGATCAGCTAGTCAATAGATCCATTCAGCAAGGCTTCTGTTTTAATATTCTTTGTGTTGGTGAGTGCCACTAACTCTTCCTCTGAATTCTTCCTCATGTTCCTTGTGCTCATTCCGTTGTTAGTATAAGCAGTATGAAGCTCATGTTATCAGTTTGAGATCATGAGCCCAGGGATTTTCTTACTTATTTAAATTATTTCAGTTTTGTTTTTCTTAGCTTTAAACCTTTTGTTGTTCCATAAACATTTTAGTGCTCTTTTCGGAATTCTAAGTAACTTAGTATACACATTAATTTCTCTGCTGATGACTTAGAACCAGCATTATGTATTTCTTTCATGGACAACCCTATCTTTAAAATATTTGCAATCCTTGAAACTACTCTGGGAATTCGCAGCTGTTTCTTCTCACCCATTCTATGTGCCTATGAAGATGTACCTTTCTTTCTTTCAGGGGAAACTGGCATTGGAAAATCCACACTGATTAACACATTGTTTAATACTAATTTTGAAGAACATGAAGCCTCACATTTTTGCCCAAATGTTAGACTTAAAGCTCAGACATATGAACTCCAGGAAAGTAATGTTCGGTTGAAACTGACCATTGTGAATACAGTGGGATTTGGTGACCAAATAAATAAAGAAGAGAGGTATGTGTTTTCTTTATGTATTAAAACACGTTTTCTTATTTCAGGATCAAGACATTTGCCTTTTGCCTTGTGAGCTTTGGTTTGATTTTCCTCTATGGCAATCCATACCTTTCCTCCCATACATTATTATTATTATTATTATTATTTAGCAATTAAGCAATGTTTTATTCTTATTAACAAATTGACATTTTTCTGCCAACTTGTCTATTTTCTTTAGAGTAATTTGAATCAAATTACTAAAATGTGTATTTCAGCAAAAATAATTTTAATTATTTTCTGATATTTGGTGTATATTCAGTGATTGGTATTAGTTTTCAGACCAAGGATGATTATTGTTGAAAATAAAATATATACAAGGCCAAATATATACAATGGGCAAATACATGGTTCATGAGTTGTTTTTGCAATATGCCAACTAAAATAGTTATATTAGTAAGCATTGTAGGAAAGTTTTAATAGTGAAATTTTAATTTATATTTTACTTTAGTATATATTTTCTATATTTTCCTATAGTATTATGAAGATTAATGATAGATTCTATATCAACTTTAAGCTGTGAAAGAAAGGGGTAAATAGATTGGGTGAAATGAATTACTTTTTGAAATGTATATATTTTCCTTATTATAGGCAATTTTTTAGAGGGAAAATATTTTGTACAAATTGACCTGATATATATTTGCATATAGCCTTTTCGACACTGCATTGTGTTTTAAATATGAAGAAATTATTTATGTGGATTAGTGGCAGGTATAAAAGCCTTTGATACCTTGTTTTAAATGTTATTAATATTTGTAAGATGGATAGCAACTTAGAACTAATGAAAGTATTTTTAATGCAACTTAAACTGCTAACTAAATTTCTTTGTAGGATGAAATAAATTCACAATACATTTAGCTTTCTATGTAAATTTATCCTTGAGTTTTAATTTGCCTTTCTTCATTAATTTATTTGTTAGATTGTTTTTTGGCAATTACCAAGATAATATGTAGATACGTTTTCACTACATACCAGTTGGAACCCGCTTTGGTCATCTCCTCAGGCCCTGTCCCATTTCTGTCCCCAGAAAAACTACTGCTGTGAATTAGGTATTTTCCCAGATATTTTTCAGTTTTTAAGTTTCTTTTATTTTAACAAAGATTTATTGATGCATAATTTAAATAGAATAGATTTCATTGCTATCAAATATAGAATTCAAAATTAGTTTTGACAAAACTTTCAGTTTTGTAACCACCATCATTTCTTTAATATAGGAAATGGCTTTGGGCTTGGCATTTGCCTATCAGTCCTTAGCCACAGACTTTAGGAGTATGCTCTTCAGATCTACAGAGCTTTTTGTCTGCAGCTCTTCTCTGTCTAGTGTTCTGCCCCACAGATTTCAGTCATCTTGGTCTCCCCTAAACTTCTTAGTCTTTGCATCTTGGTGAATATATCAGGCTACTTGCTGTCTTTCAGTATTCTGCCCAGTAAACCTGTTTCCATGCTGGAAGCTGAAAAATTCTTAGTGTTCCCCTCATTTATTGCTTTTTCAATGATCATAGTTTTATACTGCCTGTTGTCCAGCATCCAAAATCCCTTTTCTCATATATGTTGTCTTAGTTTTTAGGTTTTAGGTGGAAAGGTAAATTCAGTCCCAGTTATTCCCATAATGAGTAGAGACAGTTTATTTTTCTTTTCTTTTATTTATTTATTTTTTTAAATTCTGGACTGTACTAGGGAGGATTTGTGTATTTTGTTGACCAGTAAGGAGTGATTGAGGGCATCTTCACCCTATCCTCATCCTAGAGGTAAAGCTGTATTTTTTACATGTGTTAGGGGTTTTTTTGTTTTCTCTTTTTCTCTTGGTTTTGGTTCTAGTTTTGGTTTGTTGACTTTGAGTTTTGTTTTAGATAGAATAAGAAAGTTTATTTTAGTAGTACATTTTTTAAAAATGTGAATAGACAATGTTGGTGTTTGTTTTTGTTTGTTTTTCGATGTTGGGGAATTGAACTCAGGGGCTCTTTATCTCTGAGCTATGTACCCAGCCCTTTTTAAATTAAACTTATAATCTTGGATACCACTTTGGGATCACTTTTTCATATTGTGTTCTGTTCGGTATTTTTCTTTTAGTGTTTTTGTAATTGTTCATTTATTTATTTATTTGCTATGCTAGGAATTCAACCCAGAGCCTTACACATACTAGGAAAGTGTTCTACCACTGAGCTATATCACGCCTTACTATTCCACAAAATACACAAATCCTCCCTAGTATAGTCCAGCATAAATAAATAAATAAATAGATATTGTTAGCTTTCTGAAATGAGATTGAAGAATTTTAATTCTTTTTCTATTTTTTTGGATTAGAGTTAGTTTTCCCTGAGATGTTTGCTAAAACAAACCAAGAAAGCTAATTTGGAGTTACTTAACTTCACTTAGTGTTTATAGGACTATTCTAGAGTTGATCTTTTTTATTTTTTGAAAATGTTTTGGTGTTATACTTTTCCAGGAATCTGTTTTGTGTAAATTTTCAAATTATTAGCCTAAAAATATTGGTAATACACTCCTACTATCTTTGTATTGTCTATATCATCTGTAATGATACCTATTTTACTTTTCAGATATTGGTTATTTGTACTAGTTTTCATTTTCTTAATTTTTTTTAGTTATAGATGGACACAATATCTTTATTTTATGTATTTTTATGTGGTGCTGAAGATCAAACTCAGTGCCTTATGCATGCAAGGCAATACTACTGAGCCACAACCCCAGCGTCTTGTTTTCTTTTTCTGTTTGATGAGTCTCAACAGAGCATTGCCAATTTATTTGGTCTCTTCAAACACCAAGTTTTGACTTTCTTGTTCTCAATTTTATCCTTTTTTTTCCTATTTCACTATTTCTATTTCTTATATTCTGTTTATTTAGCAAAAAATAATTTACGGATTTCATTTTCAAAAATCATAAGCAAGGCATTTGATAGAGGAACATTCACATGTAGGTCACACAATAGGTCATGTTTTAAGTCATGAATGAAAGCTTCTTTGGAATTTTTATATCAAATATGTAATTGAAACAAATTTTACTAGTATTTTGGGAAGGGAATCCTGTTAGGTTACATTTAAACCAGTTTCCTAGAATTACTTACTGATGTTCATAATAATCACTCTGATAATGAAGTAAATTCTTTATTATTCTAGTTCTTATAGCAAACAGAATTATATGATCTTTGTCTTCACATTGTTTACCGTCTGGACAGGGAGAAAAGGTATTCTGTGGGTTTAAAAGAGGTGATGATCCTCAAGAACTAGAATTGTCAGGCAACTTTATAGAAGAATTCAGTTCTATCCACATTTATCAAGTTCTTTAGCTGAACAAGGTACTGCTCTTTTTGGTCTACAAAGATGATTGCAAAGGTGACCAGGGAATTTGAGGTAGGAATTATTTGCTATTTATTTTCACTTGGATTTGTTTAAGGAGGATAGTTAAGGGTAGAAAGGTAAGTTGAATAGGCAGTGATTTAACATATCATAATGAAGTAGGATGTTCACAAACTACTCTTGAATTGCTGTTAGCATACTGGCCTGCATGTGCCTTGTGATTTGATTTGCATCCTAAAGGATGAATAGACTGAGACAACCAGAGGGAAGACAACATTCTAAGGGGGAGTTATCTGAGTAAGAACTTGGAGCAGAGAACATGATTGGCCATTTCTTTGTTTATAATTAGCGAAAAATAAAACCATGCCAATCAGTATTCCTAGATACTTTCAGCTGATGTTTGCTTTTCCTCTTTACTATGTTCATGCCTTTACAAATCTGATTTAGAGAAAGTCCTGGACTTTGATTGAAATATATTTTTAGTTGATACGCCGAGCCTTTTTTCAGTTAGTTAAATAACATGTCATGGTTACAAACTAGATTCTTAGCTTTCTTGAGCAGTCTGAGAAGTATGGGAACCTTTATTATAATGGGACACAACATGTGAATGGATATGGAAATGAATCATTGTAATTCATTACTGTATCAAGCACAGTTTGTTCTGATGGTTTGTGAATATTACCTTTGTGTATATGTTATACACATTGTTTTTTTTTTTTTTTTCAGTAAGTTATGTGTTTAGGTTAGCATATAAACTCTTTATTAATTGGTAAAAATACAGTCCTCAAACTTGAGAGTTTTACAAGTGTCTTATCAAGGTAGCATAGATATGTTGTATTAAATATTTAAATAATTATATTTTCAGCTACTTACCAATAGTTGACTACATAAATGCTCAGTTTGAAGCCTATCTCCAAGAAGAACTGAAGATCAAGCGCTCTCTCTTCAACTACCATGATTCTCGCATCCATGTGTGCCTCTACTTCATCGCTCCAACAGGCCACTCTCTGAAGACACTTGACCTCTTAACCATGAAGAATCTGGACAGCAAGGTGGGTTAGGAAAGTAATCAATAAATTAGACATTAAATGTGTGTGGACTGCTTAAATATATTTATGGATAGATAGTGTATGTATTGTGACTTTTATCTGTGCATCTTTAAAACATCTAATACATTTCTGTCAGCTTATTTTCTGGAGGAATTCAGTTTGGAAGATGAGATGCAAATACAAAACATTAAAATAAAAGTTCAGTGTCATTATTTTTAATATAGAAATTGTGTAACACTAGTTTTAGGTTACAACACTATTAAGTAAGAGGAAGAACTTCATTGACAAAGATTAAAGTACAATGTTTTATCACATATTTAGTGAAATATGTTTTAATTTGAGCCATACCAAGGTAAGTTGATATGAGCCAATATAAATTTAGGGAGCTTTAAAAAGACTGTAAATCGACTCAAGTTTAACTTTTATTTAAAGCTAAATATATTGCTTAAATATATTGCTTTATAAGTTAAAACTACTTACTGTCTTATACCAAAAGAAATTCAATCCCAAGTAGTGAGAAAGGCAGCTTTCAGAATCCTGGATACTAATTTTATAAAGTATGGTTTAAAAATATAAGGGCATTCTGGTTGTTCTGCTTTCCTCTGTATAGTAATACAGTAATTGATGTGGAAAGCAGGAAGACTACCAGTGAAACCTTTGTGCGTAGGTTGATTTACTTTTGGCATAGTCCCTAGGCTTTAGCAAAAACTTGGTGAAGGTTAATAGACTTATCATGTGAAGAGATGTGATAGACTTAATCATTTAACCAGTTATCTTCATAGTGGAGCCTTATGTGGGAATTCATATTTGTGAAAGGAACACAAAACCAAGAGCATGGGATTGAGGTTGTGGTTTAGCTGTAGAGCGCTCATCTAGCACATGTAAGGCCCTGGATTTGATCCTTAGCACCACATAAAAAATAAATAAATAAAACAAAAATAAAAGGTTAAAAAAAAAAAAAAACAAGAGCATGCAACATAAGCTGGAGAGAAGAAACGTGACAGTAGTATAAAGTGTGAATAAAGACTAGTGCAGTGGCACACGCCTGTAATTTTAGCAACTTGGGAGGCTGAGGCAGGAGATCACAAGTTCAAAGCCAGCCTCAGTAGATTAGGGAGGCACTTTGCAACTCTGCGAAACCTTGTTTCTAAATAAAATACAAAAAAGGGCTGGGGGTGTAGCGCAGTGGTTAAGCACCCCTGGGTTCAGTCTACACACCCCCGTCTTCCTGCCCAAAGACAGTAGTGTAATTTGGTGCCTATGGAGTCTGGTTTCAAATGTTGGATCTGTCGCCTATTACTTATTTGATCTTGGGCAAGTGCTTTTAGCCTTCTGAGTCTCAGTTTTCGTACTTATGTACAAACCAGCAAGAAGCCCTACCTTAAGGCCCAGGTATGAAAATTAACTAAATTAATCCATGTAAATAGAGGGTTTAACAAATAGACAATCTTAGTAAGACAGCTATCATTACTTTGTGAGAATTAAATGAGATAATGTATTACAAAGTCCCTGTTATATTGTGCACATGAAATACAAAATGTATAGGCATGCAAATATGTTGGTTCACATTTCTCAGTGGTCAGAATATAGACTATATTTCATAAAGTTTTTTTAGTACAGTGTATAAATATATATTATATAATCTCCAGCTTTGATGATTTAAAGATGTTCTTTACTTTTTATGATAAACTATAAACTACCTTATAAAAAACAAGCACCTGCTTCTGTTATTTGTATAAGAATGCTGTTTCAGAGTTAGCTGAGGTCTACAGGCTTAATACACTAGTATAAAATAGATAGTAGGAGTCGGGTATGGTAGTGCACACCTGTAGTCCCAACTGCTTCAGAAGCTTAGGCAGGACGATCCCTCCACACCAAGATTTTGAGGCTGACCTCCTCAGCAGAGTGAGACCCATCTCATAAAAAAGATAGGACTATAGCTTAGCATACAAGGCCCTTGGTTCAGTCCCTTGCAATACAAAACAAAACAAAATAAAACAAGAAGTTAAATATATATAAAATATAAAGTAATATAAAATAGGCCACTCACTGGTTCAACTTCAGTCCAACTACATACCAGCTATTGCCTCTTGGGGCAAACTAACTAGGCTTTAGCTTTTACATTTGTAAAATAGGAGTACATGCTCATGCTTGTTATAAAGATTACCTGATATCCTTCAGCAGATGAATGGATAAAGAAAATGTGGTATATATACACAATGGAATATTACTAAGCCATAAAGAAGGGTGAAATTGTGGCATTTATTGGTAAATGGATGGAACTGGAGAATATGCTAAGTGAAATAATCCAATCCCAAAAAACCAAAAGCTGAATATTTTTTTTAATGATATGCAGATGCTAACACACAATAAGGTGGGAGAGGAGGGAAGAATAGAATTTCACTAGATTAGACAAAGGGGAATGAAGAGGGAAGGAAGGGAGAATGGGAATAGGAAAGACAGTAGAATAAATTATAAATTTCCTGTGTTCATGTATGGATGTACGACCAGTATAACTCCATATCATATACAACCACAAGAATGGGAAGTTACACTCCATGTATGTATTATATGTCAAAATACATTCTACTGTCATGTATAACTAAAAAGAACAAATAAAAAATTCAAGAAAACAAAATAAAACAAAAACCCAAAAATAAATGTATCAAAAAATGGAAGATATTATTAATAGGAAAACTGTGTGAGGGAAGGAGGTATATGGGAATACTCTGTACTTTCTTTCTTTTTTTTTTTTTAGAAAGAGAGAGAGAGAGATAGAGAGAGAAAGAGAGAATTTTAATATTTTATTTTTCTTAGTTTTCGGCAGACACAACACCTTTGTTTGTATGTGGTGCTGAGGATCGAACCCAGGCCGCACGCATGCCAGGCGAGCGCGCTACTGCTTGAGCCACATCCCCAGCCCACTCTGTACTTTCTGGTCAGTTGTTTTGTATACATGCTGCAAAGAACAGTCTTGAAATTAGAATGCAAACAAAAAAAATTACTCGAGATAACTTTAAACATTTATCACAGTGCCTGGCACATAGGAAACACCTATGTTGCTTATTATTCTGTTACTTGAAAATACTTTTAATTAGCAGGCACAAACTTGTTCAGAATATTCATATTTTGGTATTAGAGGTCCTTACTAACCTGATGTCCACCTTTAGCCTTCAAGTCTTAGAGAAGAGTTAGCAGGGAGTAATCTATATTAATATGATCCCTTAGTTGATTTTCAGGAATAAACAGGAAAGATAATGATCACTTACTTGTTCAGCAGTCCAGTCTGCAAACTCTTAGAAAACTAGCTCTAGATGCATATCATGTACTGCCAAAGACTTTGGAAAGCATCACAATCTTGTTTTGTTATTTGCAGTGCTAGGGATCGAACTCAGGGCCTCAAGCATTTTAGGCAAGCACTCTGCCGCTAAGCTACATCCTTGTCCGAGTGTTATCTTTTAAATAATACTGTATTTCATTCAAACAAAATGAAACATTTTATGGTATTATAAAAGAAAATCTGCATCATGCATTCATTGAAGATTGTCATTACCCTGTCGAAGATTGTTGCTGCTCTTTTCTGCTTTATTCAGTTGATGGGAGAAAAATGCTAAACTTGGTTCTTCTTTATTAAAATCCTGCCTTTAGTTTTCTATTGTATAAACCAGACAGGAATGTTATAACTAAATTTTTGTACATGTTTAAAGAGAAAACTTGAGGCATGCTTCAATTATGTCATTTGGTACTTAACATATATGGATGTGCAATATTTTTATAGTAGCAACTATTACCCACAAGACACCTGGCAGGCCTAGAGCCTAATTTACACAAGAGTACTAGATAAAAATGAGCAATGATCTTAGTTCCTCAGACCTCCAGCCTTTCTTTTTTTTTAAAGAGAGAGTGAGAGAGAGAGAGAATTTTTTAATATTTATTTTTTAGTTTTTGGCGGACACAACATCTTTGTTTGTATGTGGTGCTGAGGATCGAACCTGGGCCGCACGCATGTCAGGCGAGCGCGCTACCACTTGAGCCACATCCCCAGCCCCCTCCAGCCTTTCTTAACATAATTTTCTATTGTTCCAATAAGCCAAACACTTGACTACTTTTTAAGAAAGTTACTTTTATCTTTTGTAGAGGATGAAAAGTGTCCATCTTTGGCAGTATGTATTTTTTTCTCTCCCTTTGATAGGCATGTAAATGTTAATGTTTAGCATTCAGTTCACTTCTGCCTTTTATTGTGGAAGTAATCAGAAGTTATTGACCTGGCATAATTTATTGAATATGTAAGTATAGAATACTGAAACCAAGAACTTGTTATCCAATCCCCCCCCCCCCCCCGCCCCTTGGTGCTGGGGATGGAACCCAGAGATGCTTTTCTACTGATCCACATTCTCAGCTTTTTTTAGTTTGATTCAGGGTCTTATTAAATTACGTAGGTCTTTACTGAGGCTGACCTGGAACCTGCTCAGACCTTCCTCAGACCTCCTAAAAAGTTGCCGGGATTACAGGTGTGTGCCATGGTGCCCAGCAGTATTCAATTTTTTAGGTAGTTTAACATGAAACCTGTTTACTAACAATTGTAAAGTTTTCTACCATTGATGGGAATTTAGCTGGAAGAACATCTGTCTCCTTGGATCATATAGAAGACTGAAATATCCAAGTATATATACTGAATCATTGTGAAATTGGAGAAGATAAAAGTTTAAGAATGTGGGCTGGGGCTGTAGCTCAGTGATTTTATTTTTACTTTTATTATTTTGAAATTAACATTGCCATCTCACTCTCAAAGGACTGGATTTATTTATGTGTTAGTTGATCTTCAGGATCCCACATCTCTTTCTCCCTGGCAGTGATAGAACTTTGAATAATGCTAATGAAGTTATTTCTTTGTGTCATGAAGACTTGTAGCTGGTATTGGTGCAGTTTCCTTTCTGTGCCATATAGGTAGAAGTCTTTGATGACTGGGACACTGATAGGGAAAAAATCAGGGCTAAAATGGGAGGCAGAAAGAGAAATGTCACTTGTTTTTTCATTTTGCTGAGGGACCAGTCACTAATTACTTAATGCTTAGATTATTAAGAAATAAAAGTTGTTAGTGAATTAAGCAGGCATTTTCAGTTTACTCTTTATTATATTTTACATATTTTCTGTGTGATGGAATTGTAAGACACTTCAAGGGAGAGAGAAGAAAATGAGATTTCTAAACCGGGATTGAACTCAGGGACACTGAACCACTGGAGCCACATCTCTAGCCCTATTTTGCATTTTTTGTAGAGACAGGATCTCTCTGAGTTGCTTAGCGCCTCATGATTTCTGAGGCTGGCTTTGAACTCTTGTTCCTCTTGTCTCAGCCTCCCGAGCTGCTATAATTACACACATGTGCCACCATGCCTGGCCTGAAAGGTTAATCTCAACAAGAGCTCTGCTTTCTTTGTATTATTATTATTGTTATTGTTGTTAGTGTGTGTTTATGGTGTTGGGGCCTCGCATATACTACACATACTAGGTAAGTGCTTTACCACTGAGCTATACCCCCAATCATTGGGTCTGCGTTTTAAAAGCAGTTACTATGAGGCCAGTATCTATAGGGATAACTATGTAAGGGATATGTGTGTTTTTGAGAGAGACAGAGAGAAAATGTGTGTGTGTATGTGTCAAGTGAAAGCCAATGATTATTTGAGTCAGAGGTCTACTTATTTTTTCTGTAGAGGGCCAGAAAATAAATTAGGCTTCCAGGCCACATGGTTTCTGTGGCATCTACTAGTCTCAGCTGTTGTAATAAGAAAGTAGCCCGTGAATGAGCATGGTGATGTTCCAATAAGTCTATTTATATAAGCTGGAACATAGTTTATCAATCTGGTCTGGGGTAAGGAATTTTATTTACAGAGACTGAATGGTTTTGTGTGAACAAATAATTACAAGATTAAAAATGAATCCTCAATTATATGATTTTGTATTTCTTTCTACCTAATAGGTGAACATTATTCCAGTGATTGCCAAAGCAGATACAATTTCTAAATCTGAATTACAGAAATTTAAGATCAAGCTCATGAGTGAATTGGTCTGCAATGGTGTCCAGATATACCAGTTCCCAACAGATGATGATACTATTGCAAAAATCAATGCTGCAATGAATGTAAGCTCCTAAAGGAATGTCAAGGCTGTTTTACATGTGAAAATAACTTGTGATTCATGTCACTGCTACAGTAGTCTCCCTTATCTGAAGTTTTGCTTTTTGAAGTTTTAGTCACCCATGGTCAATATTAACTAAAATATTGAAAATATTAACTAGCAAATTCTAGAAATAAATAATTTCTAAGTTCTAATTCATTGTGTACCATTCTGATTGATGAAATCTCATCACAGGCATTGTGTCAACTTACATTATAAAAGGAAGGATGGGCATAGCATCATGTATTTTAAGAGAGAGTGTCCTCATTCATGTTATTTTTATTAGCAATATATTGTTAAAGTTTTCTTATCTTATTATTAGTTATTGTTAATTTCTCTATGTGCCTAATTTATAAGTAAATCTATCATACATATTTTATGTGTGGGAAAAAATAGTAAATATAGGGTTTGGTACTATCTGCAGTTTCAGTTATCCAGTGGGGATCTTGAAATGTATTCTGTCTGGATAAGTGGGGATCATTGTGGTGTATTTTCCCTTGTGTTTTCCAAAAATACTTCAAACAAAGTGAAATTTTTAAAAAGCACACGAAGAAATAAGCATTTTTAAAACTGTTAAAAGATAATGAAAATATATTTCTAAGCATTTTTTCCTTCCTCCCTGCTTTCATCTGAATAAAGCTATGCAGTTGTGAGCTCTGTTTAATTTGTGGAGCTCTATTTAATTTGTCTAAGAAAGATTGCCTTTCTGTCCTGTTTTAAACAAATGTGAGCATACTCTACAACCTCCCTTGGAATGTTTTAGAGTCTAAGTCTTCAGGGAGATCTCTTCAAGCTGGTATTCACGTACACCCTCCTTTATAGTACCCATACATACATCCGAAACATTGACTAATCAAGGATGACTAAATTCTTTTTACTTTCTTTAAACTATCACGTTTCTTAAATATCTGGTGTTATTTTGAAGGATTGTGGGATTGGGACTAAGACAGATTTAATCATATGCTGTATAAGAGTTATGGACCTCCCCAAGACTGTTAACTAATCTATAAAATTAGGTTAATAGTACCTATTTTAAGAGTTGTCACAAGGATTAAGTGATACACTCCTAGTTAAGTACCTAACAGTGATAATCTTTAACTGGTTTTTTGTTTTGTTTTATTTTTTTAGAAAATGAAAGTAAAAATTTATTATACAAAGTAAAAATAATAGTTTGATTTAGAGTAGGAGTCACTTATCACACAAAAACACTTTATGACACATGGGATTCTTGAGACATCCAACTCCATTCTGGCCTTTAGGGGTCATTCACATATTGTTTGTGTTTCATTAGTTCATTAAAACAACAAATGTTTCTTGTTCCAGGTACTTCTTTTTTTAATTTGTTTAAATTAGTTACACATGACAGTACAATGATCTTAACATATCATACATTTGAATCAGATGGGGTCTAATTTCTCATTTTTCTGAGTATACAGGTTGCAGAATCACATTGGTCATGCAGTCACATATATACCCACAGCAATAATAATGTCTATTTTATTCTGCTGTACTTCCTTTCCCCCCTTGCCCTCCCCTCCCCTCCCATCACTTCTCTCTACACAATCTAATGTGACACCCTTCTTTTTTTTTTCCCCTCACATTGTCATACATGTATTCTGTATAACGATGAGGGTCTCCTTCCATCTTCCATGCAATTCCCCTTCTCCTCCCTTTCCCTCCCACTTCTCTTCCCTATTTAGTGGTAATCTTCTTCTCATGCTCTTCCTCCCTACCCCATTTTGAGTCACCCCCCTTATATCAGAGAAGACATTCGGCCTTTGTTTTTTAGGGATTGCCTAACTTCACTTAGCATAATCTGCTCTAATGCCATCCATTTCCCTGCAAATGCCATGATCTTGTTATTTTTTTAGTGCTGAGTAATACTCCATTGTGTATAAATGCCACATTTTTTTTTATCCATTCATCCATTGAAGGGCATCTAGGTTGGTTCCACAGTCTAGCTATTGCGAATTGTGCTGCTATAAACATTGACGTGGCTGTGTCTCTATAGTATGCTGTTTTTAGGTCTTTTGGATATAGTCCAAGAAGGGGAATAGCTGGGTCAAATGGTGGTTCCATTCCCAGCTTTCCAAGGCATTTCCATACTGCTTTCCAAATTGGCTGCACCAATTTGCAGCAATGTATGAGTGTACCCCCCCCCACCCCCGCCCCCCGCCCATCCTGTCAGCATTTGTTGTTGTTTTTATAGCTTATCAGTTGTCATGTTGGTATGAGAAGAAGAGATTGATGTTATGGTTCTTTTACAGGAGCATTTACCATTTGCTGTTGTAGGAAGTATGGATGAGGTAAAAGTTGGAAATAAGATGGTCAAAGCTCGTCAGTACCCTTGGGGTATTGTACAAGGTAAATGAGATAAACAATGACTTTAAAAATATATATATATATATATATATATATATATATTGTACGAATTATGGTGGCACATAACTGTAATCCTGGCAAGTCAGGAGACTGAGGCAAGAGGATTTCAAGTTTGAAATGAGATTGGCAACTTAGGGGGAGACTCTATCTCAAAATAAATAATAGAAAGGGCTGGAGATGTAGCTCAGTGGTAAAGTGCCCCTGGGTTCAATCCCCAGTACCACAAAAATAAAACAACAAAAAATAAAAGAAAAAGAAAATAAATTATCTGTGTTGCCTCATAATCTGATGTATTTAATATATTCTTTTGAGGTAATGCTTATTTTGAATTATGATTGGTTGTCAAAGGACTTAACTGTATAATTTTTTGGCCAGTCTGTAGTGGTAAGGCAGAGTAACCTCATTCTCACTGTAGCACTCCCATTTTATCTCCCCTGAAGGCATGCAGAAGGTGAGAAGCACTGGTTGGGTATTTTGATCAAAATTTGGATTTTTTTTTTTTTTTATGGGTGCTTGGGATTGAACCCAGAGCCTCACTGAGCTACATACACCAGCTCTTGATCAAAATTTAAATGTGTAAAGTGGTATTTAAACATGATATATAAACTAATTACCACTTAACAATAGGGAACAATAAATTATGTTCTTGTAAATTTATATTTTTTTTTCTGATCAAAATAGGGAACAATAAATTATGATCTTGTAAATTTATATCTTTTTTTTCTGATCAAACAAATAAATCATTGAACCAAGCTGAAAAAGTTAAATCCACTTGACATTTAGGTTATCTGGCATTTAGTATTTAGTACTATCTGGTTCATTTATTTGTGATATTAATGGGGAATAGAATACCCCTATCCATTTACTGGCCTTCCAAATACTGCTTTTTAAAAATTGACAACTTTTTAAATTTTTAATTTTATACTTTTAATTTACTAAAAATATAGAAGGACCAGGCATGGTGGTAAATGCTTCTAATGCCAGCTACAGGAGGCTAAAGCAGGAGAATTATGAGTTTATGGCCAGCCTGAACAACAAAGTGAGATTCTGTCTCAAAAATAAATAAATACATGTAATATAAGATTGTTAGTCACAGTAGCATGTTTATTTATAGTCATTGGTCGCCATAAAGTTACATAAAGGCCATATTAGTATATTCACTAATTTTGATTTCATAAATGTATTATAGAAAAAGAACTTGATAATTATGTATAAATGATATTCTTAAGTTTGCACAGTTTTCTACTTTGAGGTGAAATAATATTACATACTCTTAAGAGTACTATGTGAAATGTTATATTATTTGTAAATATTAAAAACATTCGTGAAATATCTTGAGCATGTGATAATATATTTCTTTACCATTTTCTGTTGGCTATTAAATTTAAAGTCAGTCTCCCAATCTGTTAATTAACATTGCCTATAATACAGTGTGTATAAGGTAAGATTTTGGTTACTTGTATAAAATAATTGTAGCTATTAACCATATCAATCATTTTGATGTTTTTCACATGTGTTATTTATTCATTCAACAAACACCAATGTGTATGCCAGGAATTAAAAGCTAATGTTGCTTTTTCTTTTTTTTATGATTAGTGGAAAATGAAAACCACTGTGACTTTGTAAAGTTGCGAGAAATGCTCATTTGTACAAACATGGAGGACCTACAGGAGCAGACTCATACTAGGCACTATGAGCTTTATAGGCGTTGCAAACTGGAGGAAATGGGCTTTACAGATGTGGGCCCAGAGAACAAGCCAGTCAGGTAAGGAGTCTTTCTTGAGAAGCCAGTCAAAAGAGGAAGTTAGAAAGGATTATACATTTTTATGTATATATTTATATACCAGTATAATGGGAATATGTTTTTTAAAAATTTCCAAACCCAGGAAATTGAATCATTTAACAATGAACATTTACTGTGCTTTTTGAATCACTTGAATCCTTCTTGCTTCTGATGGGTCTTTAACTCCTTGTCTGAATCAAAGCCCATGATTTCAGAATACACTGGAATGAATAAGTGAAGGAAAAACACTCATTATTTGGTTTTATCTCTGTATTTATCTGAAACAGATGAAAGTATATTGAATAATTATCATGCAAAAAGTTGGGCTACAAATCATATTAAGTAACCTAAAACTTGATCATTTGGTTTTTATCCTGAAGAATGTTTTATGATGACTGAAACTTAGCAAAGCATTTTGTAAGGAAAGAATGCAACTACTTCTAGGGAGTTCGAGATTAGGTTGTTTCTTACATTATTACAACATAGTTATAAGAATTTTTTAGAACCTGAAGACCTTCTTGCTTCAATGATTAAAGCATAGAGAATTCAATGTTTCTATAAATGTCTTTGGAAATTTTATATGGTACTATATCCTTGCCCTTTTTTTCTTTTTTGGTTGAGACATGTACACTAGAAATCTTAATCCTTTATATCAAATCTGATTATAGCATTTTTTGTTCAGTTTTGCTTGGAATAAAGCATGAGATCCTTAGGGCAAACACTATTTTAAACTTTGTTTTGAGACTGAAGATTCCTTTTTCATTCTACTATTTATATTCCATTTTCCTGCCTGTTAGCATGTGCCCCAGAGTAAACACAATGGTAAAGAACAGGAAAGTCCAATCAGTGTTATAATTGCCCTTGATCTTCTGGAAGATTAAATCTTAGATGAAGTTAAATTTTATTAGTATATAATATTGTAGCATGATAAATTAAGAATTATATGTACTTGATCTTTCCTCACCAAATTTGGGTATGCTGTATTCTGGTCATGGACCAATGATTGTGATAAACTAATGATTTTCTTATTTTATTGTATTATATCTTTACTAAAGATTAATCATCTCAAGTTGGCTTCCCTAGTGTTTCCCAAAGGAGGCTTCGCTTCTCGTTTCTTCCAAGCCTCAGGGTCAGTGCAAAGGTCTCTGTGTGCACTAAGGAGGCAGATACCCTGAGAGAGCAAGCAGGACAGCTTTGGAGTAGTACTCTCTAAGAAGAGGGATCCAGGTTGCCTGGTGGACTCATCATAGTCACCTGTAGATGATTAAGAAATACAGGGTCAGAATTTCCAGGGATGGAGTCTAGAAATCTACATTTTAAAATGCTCATTCAGTCTTGCAGCCAATAATTACTATTTGTCTACCGTCTGCTCAGCATGCTAGACTTTGGGTACGTATGCACAGTGGGTCAGATGGACCTTCTGGGGTGGGTGTGGAAGGAGGACACTCTGCCCTGTGTGAGCAAGAGAGGATGGGTGGTAGTCAGTAGTGGAATTGGGAGACCAAGTTAGGAGACCAGGTACAAGTTCGTAGAGACTTAAAAAAGGTTGGTAGTGATAGAGGAATGAGAAGCATTTTTAGGATATATAATTTTAAGAATCCAGTGGTGGATTGCTTTGATGTGGGATGCAAAGGAAAGAGAATCAAGGATTACTTCAGTGACTCGTTTTATTTATTTGAACCACTTGGTATCAATCCCAAGGCCTCATGAATGCTAGGCAAGTGCTCTACTACTGAGCTACATCCTGAGCCCTCATCACCATTTTTATCTTGGAAACAGGGTGAATAGATGTCGTGTTTATTCCTACATGAACAAAGTGGGACAGGGAGAATTTAGCATTGGCATTGTTAATTGAGAGGTTTTTAAAATATTAAATTTAAGATGCTTATTAAATATTCATAGCTGGCTGTGGTGGCATATGGCTGTAATCCCAGCAACTCAGGACAGGCAAGAGGATCTTAAGTCCAAGGCCAGCCTCTGCAACTTAGCTAGGCCCTAAGCAACTTAGCAAGCTCAGTGGTAAAGCACTCCTGTATTCAATCCCTGTACCAAAATAATAACAATAAAAATAATGATAATTATAATTTTAAAATTCAGTTAATGTGTTTGAGTAGGTTATTACATAAATTAAAAAAATTGAAAATTTGGAATTTGAGAAAGTAGGGATGAGATAGTAATTTGGGAGTCACTAGTGAAAAATACTAGATACTGGATAAAATCATGAGTGGTTTTGAAGTGTCTGCTTTTTTGTTGTTGTTGTTGAGTTGCTGGGCATGCATATGTACTCAGCTCTACCACTCCCCACCTCCAATGTGTCCAAATAGGGTGGGAGCAGTATGGAGGGGAACTGGATCCCAGTGTGAGAATAGCTTCTACTTGTTTCCCTTAACAGGGGAAATTTCTTTGGTTTAAGCTGAGGCAAAGTATTTCTACCAGTGCTTTCTTATTTGTTACTAAATGATGTGATGAGGCTTCTGTAGCCTGATATATCGGAAACTTTCATTTTTTAGAGTTTTCAAGAATTTACATTTTATTTTCAGGTGAATCTTTCATATTTAATTTGGTAGTCTCTATAATTTGGTTGTCATGTAAAATGTATATTAATCTAGCAATTTTTAAAAGAACTTAGATGCACTTGTTAGGATGACCTTTATTTCTCTTTGTCTTCATCAGCCCTCTTCATTGATTTTCCATTTCTACTTATGCTGAGTCATAGTTGGTATCCTAAGCTGCCCACAGTGATCATGTATATCCAGATACATGGCATTATACTCTTACTGGTTTTAAAAACTTGATTTTAATGTTTTATATTGGTTACTATATGAAACATGCTTTTATAAAATTTTGAATCCCCAAGTTTAAGAATTTCAGATTAGCGTACTAGTCTTTTCACAGTTAATTACCTTTAATATTTCAGTACAAAATCACTATCATTTAAGGGTTGTAGGACCTATAGTTTTGAAAGGAAGATTTATGTAATATTTTAGAGTTGCTTGTTATATTAACATTTTTTGTCTTTGGAGCCCTCAAGAGATAAATAACTCACTTTCTGTGTTTAGTCAAGAGTAGACTTAGAAAAAAGTTAATCAATCATATTCAAACTATACATGAAACACCCAAACAGGTCACCTAGAGAAGGGTGTGGGGACTTTCCTTGATGGCATGAGCATCTGAGAATGTTTTTTTCTTCTTTGGTTTTCAACTTTGTCAGTGAGATCTGCACCTATAACATGTGGTCATTAAATGTTCATAACAAAGCTACTTTTATACTTAGGAAAGAAATAGTATAGCAAGAAAGCTTTTTCATTTAATAAGTCTATGATATAGTAAATAGTGGTTGCAGTCATTTCACAAAACTAACCCTACAAACTAGTCACTTCAGATCCCCTAAGAGTTTCTTTACCACCTTTTGAATGATAGTGCAGTTTTCTTTAATTAAAATTGCCCTCATAAGTCTGTGTTGTGCAAAGTTGAAAAGTGGTATGATATGATGGAAAATATTCAGAAGCAAGCACTTTACTCTCCCTTCAGAGAATGCCTTGCTTGAAGCAGTCTGATTTATGATGTTTGGGAATAGGGGCTTTAGAACAAGTATGATCTGGTTCACATCCCAGCTTATTACTTTAAAGCTATGTTATTTAGGACAAATTATTTTACCTCTCTGAACTTTCATTTTCTTACCCATAATATAAAACCAATGCTTGTTCTTGTATGTATGTTACTGTGGAAATTAAATATTGAACATGAGTTCAAAAGTGTTCATTGCTTGTGGCAGATATTCAACAAATGTTAGGTCTCTTTTCTTTATCCTGTAGATTTATTTTCTTCCTAAGCAACTCCAGTACTTGTACAAAGTCGTGAGGCATTTTTTTAAGTTACATTTTATGTGACTTCAAGATATTATGTCAATTGAATTTGTTCTTAAAGGGTGTCAGTCCAGTGTGATACCAATAACACGTGGTGAGGTTTATAAAATTTGTGAAGGGAGCTGATAAATGTAGGGGCTTTTAAAAAATGAGACTCAAACAGGAAAGAAAAAAAAATAGTACAAAGTAAAATGCCTCTTTGGGATCTGAGGCAGTTTATGTGGTACCTAAGACATTTTATACCTTTATAAGCTTTGCTCATGCATGGTAGGAAAACACTACCACTAAACTACATATCCAGAGTAAGCTTTGTTGTTGTTTGTAGTTGTAGATTGACAGAATGCCTTTATTTTATTCACCTATTTTTATGTGGTGCTAAGGATCTAATGTGGTGCCTCACAATGCTAGGCAAACTCTCTGCACTGAGCTACAGCCCCAGCCCCTTAAGCTTTGTTCCTTATGAGGATGTTCTTACAGATGTTTAGCTTCAGTTCCTGGTATTATCTACTACACATATCATAAATTTAACTATCAGCCACAATAGCTATTGTGCAACATTTTTTACTGTTTTTCCTTGAACTTTTTCTAGTTACAATGTTTAAGATTAGTCAAATTCCTTAATTTCATCACATTTTGAAATTTGTTTTTATGTATTTTCATAAGTAGTAGAAATTTCTAACTGACACAGAAGGAAAGTGAATTTATATTACCTGTCAGATCTTCAGGGTATTTTCTCAGAGATCTAAAATGGAAGAGATCAGCATTTCTGACATATAAGTAGGTTAATTATGCCTCTGGAATATCACTAGTAAGAAAGGGTAGTTGTCCATAGAATTCCAGGACAATCTTTGCTCTGCTTGATTTTATCTGCCTCTACTAACCAGAAGTTTCTGTTACTGAACAAACATTTATGAAGAGCTTTGCTAGATAGCCAAGTGAAGATGACAAATGGAGATCCCATTCCTGTTCTCAGGATTTGTGATCTGTTAGGAGAGAGAGTCAGCCAAGATATAAATGACAAGAAGTGGCTTGGAAGGAACAATTGATTCTAACTAAGAAAGTGGAGAAGCCTTCTAGAGAAAGTTGCATCTGCATTTGGCCTTGAGGGATAGAAGAATATGAGGGCAGAAGGAGGGTGGGGAGTAGGCAGCATCAGTAAACAAAGAAGGTACAATACAGCTTGAAATGTGAGGTATGTTTTAAGAACAGTAAATAGATTTGTGTGGCTGGAACATTAAGGGAATTGGATTTGTTTGTTGGGAATGAATCTGGAAGAGTAGAGTTGAAGGAGGTGGGACCTTATTCTATAGAGAGCATAACTAATTGGGAGAAAAATTAAGGAGGTCTGTGGTTTTGGTGGAAAATCTAAGGAGTGGCAGGAACAAAGTGAAAAAAAGAGGACCTAGAAGTCTAGAGATGATTTAGGAGATTATTTCAACAGTAAAGGCAGAAAATGCAAAGATCAAGTTGGGCTGTAATAGGATATCTGTAGAAATGGAAAGAATATAGACTTTAATGATATCAGATAGAGAAAAGTATAAGAGATATATCCCAGGTGACTTTATTTCTTCAATGTTTCTGGAGTTATGCCAGTTAACAGAGACTGAAAAAGGAAAATGTTTGGGAGGGTACTTCTTGTGAAGGACTTTTTTTTTTTTTTTTTTAATTAATTCTAGTAGCTACATTAGCTGTAGCACTGGAGGCCTTTTATCAAATGCTATAGGACATGGCATGTTTCAGATTCTGTACGTCAGCAGCTACTGGTACATCCTATTATATATCTGAGGTCTACTTTGAGGTATGTGAGATTTATCAAATTTATTACATCATCTTTTGAACATGAGAATAACACAAATAACTTTTTGTAGTGTTCAAGAGACCTATGAAGCCAAAAGACATGAATTGCATGGTGAGCGTCAGAGAAAAGAAGAAGAAATGAAGCAGATGTTTGTGCAGCGAGTAAAGGAGAAAGAAGCCATATTGAAAGAAGCCGAAAGAGAGGCAAGTTTGATGTGATTTTTTTCGGTGTCCTATTTCTTTGGATACAATGTAGTTGAGACACTTTTTACTTTTTTTAAAATTTTATGAATTCTGTCTTTAAGAAAAGCAAGTCCTAATATCCATTTGGAAAGCATACATTCAAATTAGGATAAAAGAAAAAAAAGAGAAACTAGGATAGGATCATAAAATAGGCAGGGGTTAGACAATAATAATACTGCAATAACTTGTACACAAATTTTTCTCTGAGCTTCCTTGCAGCCAATCCAGAAAAGGAAATCTTATCAGCTCTCATAGGCATTAAGTCTGCACCAATAAAAGCCTGATAAGCAGGAATTAGCAGAGGGCTTAGGGTACAGAAGTGGAAATAAGCATTGGTTGTGGGCTGTCACAATGCTGTTCTGCTGTCCAGAATGCATCACAATGGAAAAGGAGTACACAGCTTTACCAAGACTGTTGTCTGAGCTGCTTTGTTTACTCAAATTGTGTAATGGATGTATAAGTGAGAATGCTCAAGTGTTGGAATCACATACTCATGTTTCGTTGACATTTCTAGGTTTCTACTTTCTTTTTGTCATTGAGTAAAAAGGAAAGTACTTAATGCCAACAGCTAACCAGTTTACAAGTATCCTATTGTGTCATGAGTAGGGCTAAAAACAACTCATTTCTGTTGGTATTGTGAGATAATGACTAAATCTTCATACACTGATTTCAGACCTCACCTAGGTTTGGCCATATGAGTTATCTTGCATGATGATAATAAAAATATTTTTATGTGAAAGTTTTAGTTCATGACCATTTCTTATTGTACCTAATTTTTAAAAGTATTACTGTGAATTACATTGTTGGTCTTGTTTCATGCTTGGAAAAACTAAATTATAATAAAATATGGAGCCAGGAGTAGGATGATGACACTGGGGCCTGTTAGTCTTAGTTCTGTGTGCAACACTCTTTAAACCATTTGACTTTTTGAATTTTTCTTCTATAATGTGTTCCCACATAGTGATATTGATACATTTTGGCAGTAGTTGTTCTGAGGTGGCATAAAAGTTGAGAACACGAATCTCCTAATATCTGGTGCTCCTCATTCTACCCTGAATTGAGAATATAGCCTCCCTCATGAGTTGTTAGGATGCGGACACATGGGAAACCAGTGGGAATAGTTGGCCAAACACTGATATTTGCTAGGAAGTTCTTTCATGAGAGCTCGTTGATTCCTGCTGTCTGAAGGGCTGGAGAGAAGTGATGGTTGTAGAGGTCCAAGGCATTGCCAACCTGAGATTGAACCTGGACCACAATCTCTCAGTCTTAATAAAGTTTTTTCCATAGACCAAGTTTTTCCCACTCTCCTTCTCCCCAGAAGACCAGGGTCAGCAAAATGGGTCAGGTCCAGAATGCAGATAGTGTGTGATGAAGAAGGGTAACATTTAGCTGCCTTAGGTAAATCAATAGGGCCATTATAAAATGGAAACTGTGTCTGTATGAGTTACTTCTGATGGAGTCAATAGTAACCATGTGATGTATACTTTGGGATAAAAAGCCTTAAAAGCTTAAAATCAAAACTCCAACTCATTCCTTTACCCCTCTATCAGCAGGTCTGCTCAGGAGACAAGTTTATTCCTATGGATCCTGCTCCTCTGCTCCATCTTTCTAGTTTGTTCCTATGGATGCTGCCCCTCAACTTTTAAAGGCTACATTTTAAAGTAGCTATTTTAGCTGGGCGTGGTAGTGCACACCTGTAATCCCAGTAACTCAGGAGGCTGAAGCAGGAGGATCTCAAGTTTGAGGCCAGCCTTAGCAACTTAGAAGTACTCTGTAACCTTTCAAGATATTTTAGTATGCAAATAAAGTATGTCACTTCGATTTAAGTAATCAGAGATTCATCTCTGTTTACATAACACCAATCTGCCTGTATAGGCTCCCTTCCTGAGCTTCTACTCTGCTCGCCTCCCATGTGATAGGGGTGCACCATGCTCAGAGAGTTGTGACTCTTACACCATTGACCTGCTTTTTGTTTGTATTTTGTAGTTCTGGAGACAGAACCCAGGGCCTTGTGCATACTGGACAAGTGCTTTCAACCACTGAGCTGATCCAAGTGATCTATTTATTACATCTTTTTTTTAATATTTATTTTTTAGTTATAGGTGGACACAATATCTTTATTTTTTTATGTGGTGCTGAGGATTGAACCCAGTGCCTCATGCATGCTAGGCTAGTGCTCTACCTCTGAGCCACAACCCCAGCCCCTACATCTCTTGTTTTGAAAAGCAGAAACTATTTAAATAAGCAAATACTAAGGAGCTGATACTTCTCAGAAAAGGCATCCTCTGGAATGAAGGAATTATAGGTTAGAAGGGCCTTACTTAGTCATGTTTCAACCTTGTCTCATTTTCAGTACTTCTGTCAGGGGCTCAGTGGCCCTCAGGACCATTTACTTGTTCCATGTATGGAACATGAAATTTTTATTAGGTAGAATTTAGCCATCTATTGTTTCTACCCTCATTCTCTGACTTAATGAATTATTTCCCCAACTATTTTGTTATTGTTGTTGTTGGCATTATAGCAGGCATTACAAAGCCATAGATTGATTTTTTTTTTAAATTAAATTTTATTTCTTTTTTTAGGTATACATGACCATAGAGTGTATTTTTACATATTACACATACATGGAATATGACTTATTCTAATTAGGATCCCATTCTTAATGGTTGTATGATGTGGAGTTTCACTGGTGGTGTATTCATATATAAACAAAGGGAAGTTGTGTCCAATTCATTCTACTGTCTTTCCTATTTCTACCCTGCTCTTCCCTTCATTCCCCTTTGTCTAATCCCCCCTGTCGTGTGTTAGCATCTGTATAACAGAACATTTTGCCTTTGGTTTTTTGGGATTCACTTATTTCACTTATTAGTGATAATGTCTAGATGCATCCATTTACCAGCAGAAGTCTTGAAGTCATTGTTTTTATGGCTGAATAATATTTCATTTTCTTTATCCATTCATCGGTATAAGGACATGTCGGTTGGTTCCATAGCTTAGCTATTGTGAATTGAGCTGCTTTAAACATTGATGTGGCTGTGTGCTAATTTTAAGTCAGCACATTTTAAGTTATTTTAAGTATATACCCAGGAGTGAGATAACTGGATCCAATGGTGGTTCCATTCAAAGTTTTCGGAGGACTCTTCATACTGTTTTCGAGTGGTTGCACCAATTAACAGCCCCATGAACGTACCTTTTCTTCCACATCTTTGCCACTATTTATTGTGTTACTTGTATTTTTGATGATTGCCATTTTGACTAGAGTAAGATAGAATCTAACTGTAGTTTTAATTTGCATTTCTCTAATTGCTAGAGATGTTGAACATTTTTTCATATATTTGTTGACCATTTGTATTTCTTCTGTGAAGTGCCTGTTCAGTTCCTTTGCCCATTTATTGACTGGGTTATTTGTTTTTTTGGTGCTAAGTTTTTTGAGTTCTTTATATCCTGGAGATTAATGTTCTATCTGAGGTGCAAGTGGCAAAGATTTTCTCCCATTCTGTAGGCTCTCTCTTCCCGTTCTTGATTGTTTCCTTTTCTGTAAAGAAGCTTTTTAATTTGATACTCTCCCTTATGTTGACTCTTGATTTTATTTCTTGTGCTTTAGGAGTCTTGTTGAGGAAGTCAGTTCCTAAGCCAACATGATAGAGAGTTGGGGCTACATTTTTTTGCTATTAGGTGCATGGTCTCTGGTCTAATGCATTGGTCCTTGGTCCACTTTGAGTTGAGTTTTGTGCAGGATGAGAGATGGGGGCTTAATTTTATTTTGTTACATATGGATTCCCAGTTTTCCCAGCACCATTTGTTGAAGAGGCTTTTCTCTAGTGAATGTTTATGGCACCTTTTAGATAACTGTATTTATGTGAGTTTTTCTCTTATCTTCTTTTCTGTCTGTTTTGGTGTCAATATCATGCCATTTTTGTTACTAGGGCCCTGTATTATAATTTAAGGTCTGGTATTGTGATGCTTCTTGCTTCGCTTTTCTCACTAAGGATTACTTTGGCTATTCTGGGCCTCTATCTGGTCTTGGGCATGTCTTAGTTGGTAGGCTTTGGATGGCATTTTTAATTTCATTGCCTGAAATTCGTCTGCTTAAGTTTTTCTATGCCCTCTTGATTCAATTTTGGTAGGTTGTCCTAGAAATTTGTTGATGTCTTCAAGATTTTCTGTCATATTGGGGTATAAATTTTCAAAATAGCTTCTGATTATCGTCTTTATTTCAGTAGTGTCCATGGTGTTATTTCCTTTTTTTTTTATCATCGATTTTAATAATTTGAGATTTTGCCCTCTTTCTCTTGGCTAAGGGTTTATCAATTTTTTATTTTTATTTTTTTAGAGAATGAGCTTTTTTTTAAATTTATTTTTTAATTTATTTTATTTGGTTCTTCAATTTCATTGATTTCAGCTCTGATTTTAATTATTTTCTGTCTTCTGCTTTTGGTGTTGACTTGTTCTTCTTTATCTAGGGCTTTGAGATGTAATGCTAGGTTATATATTTGGTGACTTTCTATTCTTTTAGTGAATTAGCTCAGTACAATGAACTTTCCTCTTAGAACCGCCTCCATAGTGTCTCAGAGGTTTTAATATGTTGTGTTGTTATTCTCAACGTATTTTTTTATTTTTTCATTTCACCTCTGATTTATTCTGCCATCCATTGGCCATATATATAATAGTGTAATATTTAGTCTCCAGGTGTTAAAATAGCTTCTTTTTAAAATTTTATTGTTTATTTCTAATTTCATTCCATTATTATCTGATGGAATACAAGCAAGGTATTATCTCAATTTTTTATTATTATTTATTTTTGTATTTTCTAAGATTTGTTTTGTGGCCTAAGAATGGTCTGTTCTAGAACAAGATCTGGTTGCTGCTGAGAGGAAAGTGGATTCAGTCATTGATCGATGAAATATTGTATGTATGTCTGTTAATCCTTTTGTATTTTTTAGTTCTGTAACTTCTTTATT